CGGTGGCAGTCTGTTTCTTGCCTGAACACAATCTTCATGTCTGTCGCCGTTTGGTGTTGACTTCAATGTCCACTTTTATATTTACATACGCTCTATCCCTGATATTGAGCAATTTTACCCATAAGTATAGCATACCTTAAAACTACATTTTTGTTATATATAAAAAAACACACCTGAAAATGAGTTTTTTTTTTAAGAAAAAGACAAAGTGTCATTAATTACTTTTATTTTTCAGCCTTTCTCCAGGTTCCTCTTACTACGAAAATGTTCAAATTTGGATTTGTCTTGCCATAATGTATTTTGCTAAACTATGAATATTCTGTATTAGAGAAATATTTTGTTTTCACCATTAACCTCTCAATAGACTTTTTACCAAAATTTTCATCTAATATAGGTTCTAAATGTTGATTAATGTCGTAAAGAAAACATATGTAGGTGTCTCTATTTGAAGAAAAATAATTGGGCCAATATGCCAAAATTTTCATAGTTCTTTTTAAATTTTTCTAATTTTGAAGTAATTTGCACAAAATAGCAAAATCAAAACAACTACCCACTGAGGTGAAGACAAAAAATGAAATTTAATCAAAGAAGTCTATTTTCAAAAGCAAATTGCCAAGAAGTTGAAGATTTCTAGACATGGGGTATAATATTCGTTACAAAGTCAGTTAGAAACTGGGGCAATTAACAGAAAAAGAGCTGGAGCACCAAAAGTGACAACAGCTGCTGAAGATAAACACTTGATTATTAAGAGCAAAAGAAATAAAAGGAAAACTTCACAGTTAACAGCTGAACTTAATTCCTCCCGACAACAACCAGTGTTGCTCTCAACTGTGAAAAATCGACTTAGATCATGAAGATGCATGACTATCAAGAAACCCCTGTTATGGAAGATGAATAAGCAGAAAAGATGAGAAAAAAAGCATAAGAACTGGAGATTGAATGAGTGGTAAAATGACAGACGAGTCCATAGATGAACTTTTTGATAGTAAGGTGACAATGTATATGAGAAGAAAGCTGAATGATGAATGCGTGGTTCCAACAGTTAAACATGGTGGTGGCTCTTTTATGGTGGGGTGCTTTGAGAGAGAGAGAGAGACAGAGAGAGAGAGAGAGGGAGAGAGAGAGAGCTTGAAATTTGATTGTTAAAGGAAATGCTGAAAAAGAACAATATAATTTGATTTTACAAAGGCAGGCTATCTGGTTTATGCAAAATTGAAAAACAATCATTTTTCAACAAGACAAAAACCCAAAACACGTTTCTAAATTATATCAATATTATCCCAAATCAAAAATAAAGAAAAATATTTTGGAAATTATGACTTGGCCACAACAATGTCCTGACATCTGACCCATTGAATTAGTATGGGATTAATTGGATAGGAGATTTTAAAGAAGTGTGAGCTTTTTCAGTGCTTGAAGAATGCTTGGGAAGGTCTGCCATCTACTTTTTTAAAACAAATGTTGGGAAGAATGCCAAGAATTTGTAAAGCAGTAATTAAGACAGGCGCAGTTCTATCAGGACGTAACTTTGACCTTACCTTTTAATGCATCAGTCTATGCTGACTGTGGATCTCAACTCCAGAATGCAGGCCTTTATCATATTTATTCTTATTTGTCTCCAGCAATGAATGGTGAGAAACCATCAGAGACGCCAAGTACGTAATTGATCAAAAATCAGAAATAGATATCTGGATAACCATGAAAGATATACGGACCAAATCAAAGTTTGGCTGGAAAGTTGAAACTTTATTTTTCTACTTATGCCTTTTGTCTGCGTTTCTCTATGATATCTGCTTTCGATGATGAAAAAATCCCCAGTAAATCAGAAAATGGCTTGACTTACATAAATATATTACTTGTAGTTTCAAAACCTATTCACCGTTACCGTTGAATTTTCTGTACTTGTTACTTTGAAGAAATCATTCTTCAATGTCAAGATTTTTCACCAAACTGCTGCAATACTCTATTCATGCGAAATTTTGAGCAAATCTGTTGCTTGCTTTCAAAGTGCCACCCACATTTTATTCTTTGAGAACAGACACTGTTTCACAACACCCAAGGGAGCTTATTTTTGTTATAAGAAAAATTAATATATATATATATATATATATATATATATATATATATATATATATATATATATATATATATATATATATTCGGTGTCAGCCCAAAGGTTTTAATTGTAAAAAGTGCTGAATTTATATGTAGAACGGAATAGTTATAAATTTGCGATGAAAATATTATTTTTCTTTATTGTAATTTGAATTCGCATTGCAACTAAAAGATTGATCATCTATACAGCTTGTATGCTGGTTGAAGACTACTTGTGAAAACCAAACAAAAACTAACAAAAAAACTTACCAGGTTATATTAACAGATATCAAGCTGTCATGTTTTCCGATAGCATATTTAACATGTATCCCCAACACTTAGCAGCGCGTCCCAGATGATGATAAGAGAGGTAGATGGCAACCCTCAAAACATAATCATGTATCCACTGTCTGATGATTGGAGCTATAATAACTAACCGCTACGATTTACTTTTCCTTTATATATCTTTTTGTTTGGTCTTTTAAATTCCTTTATTATAATTCTTCCTTCCTGTCCATTAACTCATTTCTACGTAAATATTTCTCAGTTTGGGCCAAACTAATTCACTGTTTAGTTCACCTTCTTTTTCATTCTGCTAGCTTTTTTCCTGTCATGTCTTTTCCTATTTGATTCTGCTTTCTCAGTTTTTCTTTTTAACTGCTCCCCCCCCTTGACTCATGTTTCTCTCATTCTCTTTATCTGGGTTTTCGTTTTGCTATGTGAAATTGGGCAAGTGGACGTTATCAAATAACAACTATTTATCTATTTACTGATTTAGTTTATTAAACAAAGTCAAATTCTTCCAGAATCAGTTTCTTTTAATCTGTTAGCAGTCTAAGAGAAGACATTATAATTATGAAAGAAAAGAAAGTAGTAGTATTTTTCTTTATATATTAATGAAATAAAATGACACCATTGGTGATTACTCATAAATAATATTTTGATTAAGCAGTAAAACTGGTAAAAAATATACCTATCAAATAGAAAAAAAAACTATGCGAGGTAGGATTAACCACAAGAAATAGAGAAGCTTCTGAAAATGAAAAGCAGATATCAAATGACAATAAACAAAACTCTCCTTAAGTGAACCTAAAAATTAACCTGCGTTTTTCTTATCCTCATAAATGAATATGAGAAAAACTAGCTGATTTTATTTTCTTCTGTTTTAAAATCTTTTGATTCAGTTCAATTAAAAAGATAATTTGGTTGGAGATGCATGCATGCTATAGTGGTTGCTGTAGTGGCATATATTTCTGCTCAAAGCTCGTGATTGGTGATGAAGATTACGAATGTTATGCAAGACAAGTAAGCCCCTTCCATTAACAAAACTTCCCTTTTCCTATTTGTCCCATTGTGATTGCATGATTGTAATTATAACTCTTTGTTCATTGTTTGTTTATGTGAATAGAAATAATTTTCATCTGTTTCTTGTTCTCTACTTCTGCATCAGAATTTTCTTCCATTGTAAAGAACTGTTTGCGTGGACGTTAATTTAGTTTCGTTAATATGTATTAGGTTTGTTTTTTTATTCTAATCTAGTCACCTTTTTGTGATTTACTTAGATTGTTTAAAAAATGCTGATAAAAAAATTGAATAACATTAAAATTTGAACCAACTTTATTAAAGAGAAAATATGGATCACAAACTGTATTTAAAATGTTAAAGAATCGTCTTTTTTATTTAAAATAGAATTCACTGAAGAAACTGAACTCCCGTTTTTATCTCAGCGAAAAAATGAGTCAGTCTCGCAAGTTTTCACGACTGGATTAACTGAAGTTGATATGAGTTGAAGCTTGGTATGTATGTATTTCTGTATCGTTTCGCTTTAACTATTTTTTTCTGAAATATCACTTTTGTTTTAATTGCATAGGATAACTCTCATATTACAATGTGCCTTTCAAATTACCAAAACTGGCATATAGCTGTTTACTGAAAGATGGAAGTAAATCAGCAACATTTTCGGCATATTATGATTTTTATTTTTAACAAGATAAAAATGTAACCCGCGCACAAAGGGGTTTGTGCTATGAATGATCGAACATATATGAATGATCGGAAATCTCAGAAGTGATTTGTAAGCTGAAGATTTCTCATTGAATGCTGTTCCATGGTCGGGTCGACTAGTTGAAATAAAGAGCAAGACATGATTTGATAATAATGAAGATTATACAACGTGAGTGATAACTGACACGCTGAAAAATATCCAAATAAATGTTGAAAATTACTTGCCCCAGTTTAGGTATATCAGTTACTTTGATGTATAACTTATGTGATATGGTGTATTTGAAACAAATTGTGACGCCGATAAAGTTAGATACTTTCCAACAACGATTCCAGAGATCGAAATGAACCATTATTAATAGTACCAAAGACAGGTTTTCATCTAAAGAAAATGCCACTGTGTCAATATATGGTGGTACTAGTACTTCAACTATGAGCGCCTTCTAGAGAATTGAACGATTGATTCGAACAAATACTACAAGCACTACTATCAAGTAAACCATTTGAATACAGCAGTCTATAAAAAATTAGCAAAAAGAAATTAGGAATTTGTAAAATGAAAGTTTATAATGATTTATCAAAATAACGCTTGAACATTTTTGATGGTCAGGTAAAATAGGTATAAATTGATTGTATTTCTAACAGAGTAGCACTTTTCGATTACAATTTATTCCCTTCTTTCAGAATTCCAGAATTCAATTAAAAAATTTAATTACCTGTACGATTGCTAAAGGCGCCTAAAGCGGTTTTTTGCCAAAAAAGGTTTGGAGCGATGAAATTACGAAATTGTCTGAAAGATGACAGTAGATAGAAAAACAAAATAATAAATATACTGTTCAATAAAGTTAATGTTGAAAAAATGTTTTTTTTAATTTTTACTTAATAAATCGATTTAAATTTTTGGTATGTTTCTCTCTCTCTCTCTCTCTCTCTCTCTCTCTCTCTCTCTCTCTCTCTCTCTCCTTGAACACAGATACAAATTATTCATTGTTTTTTTTTTAGCTCTCTGCATCTGTGGGAAAAAAAGATTTGTTTTCTGTAAACCAATCTAGTCCAGGTTCATATATCATGAGATTTTTACATTTTAAATATGTCAATAAATAAATAAATAAAATGGAAAATTGAATTTATTTCGTTATCAGGATTAGAAACCTGTAGGAAAAATTACTTTGAAAATCTCACCGCATGATTTGAAAAAAAGATCAATAAAGTCTCCCACCAGGTAGCAGTTATTAATTATTTAGCAGTCAGTTAGTTATTAATTATATGATATCCGCGGTGAATTAATGTTTTCTTTAGCACTTTGCCGTTTTTTAAGCAGACCTGAAGCATGTATAAAGTTTGTATGTTCGCAAAATGTTGGTGTTTCACATCTAACTACAGCATCATATGACGTAGTTTTGTGTCGTCATCTGATACAAATAAAATACACATTCACCTTTATTTTCAGAGGGCAGGACTTGTACGTCGGAATGCCAAGGTGAGTCGAATTAGTGAAGAGTTATACAAATTGGTTTAGAACTGGGTTTAAGTGAAGGCGGTGGCTTAACGGTATTTATAACTGACTATTGAACGGTTGAAGAGCAAACCTCCTCTCACGTTCCACATGAAATTCGCCAAGAATCTTAGTAAACATCTTTTTCCTCCACAGATGTTTTCATGAGAAGCTCTTCGAACATATAACAGAATACAGATATAAAAATAAATGACATTTAGTCAATGACAATGTTCTTAGTAAACATGTCTTTCTTTTTTTAGATACGTGATAAATCTTTATTTACTCATTGGATGATCATGTTAATGAGAGGTCAATCTAATGACAATTAGGAAATACCATAATGTAGAGTGATAAGCAATGGTATACCATATCACAGTAATCAAAGGACTGTATTCTGAAATACCCTACCCATTTGTTTTGTCAATTTCCTACATTTTGTGCAGGAAAATATTGCTTACTTCTGGTAAAAAGAATTGGACAGATGAGTGCAAAAATTTATAGCACCACATCATCCAGAAAACAGCAAACTGATCATAGATAGTGAGGAAAAGAGTCCCACATTAACCCATCATTTTCTTTTCTTTTTTCTTTTCTTTCTGAAATTGTCCATCTCTCCTTATCATTTATTTTCTATAAATCATTGAAAATTAAATCTATGTCATGACAAATATCCAATTTTCCGTCGTTCTTTTTGTTCTTTGGAAAATACTGATAGTGGATTTAGCCGAAATTACCGATGCACACTGGAACACTGTGGTGTTGATTATATACGGCAAACGCTCAGATTGATACATTTTTATTAGCAGTGACATCCGGCGTAACCTGGGGAAATATTTTCAAATATGTTTTTTTTAACATATTTCTTCTTACATAATAAATGAAAACAGGATTATTTACACTATGTGTACAGGAAAAAGTAGCTGTTAAGAAAAACAAAAAACATTCTGATGTCAAACAACACAAGTGAGGCATTTCCTTAGATTAAGGCGGCTGAGTACATAACATTAAGGCTTCTCCTATCGTCTGCTACTCTGAAGAGATTGTTTGGGGAGCCAACTAACTAACATAGAGCTGGTCATAGGAAAAGCAGGAAGAAGGTAATTTGAAACCAGCGATCTTGAGAGATTATCTTTGTAATTTATTAATGGTTATGGCAAAGGTAGGCCACACTTAAATCTGAGCTAAAGATAATTCAATGGGCAAGTCTGTTGGAATCATGGGAGCCCTGGTAATGAATACATCCTCTTTTTTGTCTACCTCAGTTCGGATATTTGCCGCAATGACATGAAGCTTGATAGGGAGATGAATTCCACTGCATAACCTTGGAGGGTCGAGATTTTTCTAGAAGCATGTTTGGTGTTGCGATCATCATTTGAAGCCTGTGAGGAGAAACACCAGGCAACTGTGTTCTGAACCGTCTTGGCACTGTGTCACTTGACAACTTTGCAACATTTTTTGAGTTAGTTTCCAACAGTTCTGAGATAATTTCTTCAATTAAACCTTTCCTTGGAGAAATAATACCTTGCTAATAGAATCAATGGTAGTTTCTTTAATTTTCAGTCCTTTTATTTAAATCAGCTGAAAAAATTTAGTTTAATCCTAAAATGAATTTTGAAAATGTTTTGTTCAGGATTGCACAATCGTTTACAAATACATTAAAAATAAATCAAGAATTTTAGCCACTTCCCTTGTTTGACTGTAAAAATTTATTTTAATGTAAAATTAACCTTTTAAAGTTCAGCAAATCCATCCTATCGTTTTTCTTTTTTTTTTACTTAAGTTTCTCCCATGCACAAATTTACCTCCAGTATTGTAATTGAGTGGATACAATACAGAACATAAAAACCATAAACTAATTCTACCTCCAGTGACCTCCGGTGTGTTGGTGGACGAATTTGACCTTATCTACTATTTGTGAGTTCAAAATCATTTTCCACTTTATGTCAAATTCAGTATCACAGTCTATTTTATTAGAAATTATTTAATTTGCTTAGAAATGTATAGCTGTGCTTTTTCTTTTTAATCTGATGACTTTGGATGATATCCGAGGTAAGCACCGCATAACCTATGGATCAAAAGAATGCATTTTTTGTTTTCGGGACAGGATATACTAACTAAGTCTCTTTGTTCATTTTGCAATATAGTGCTTCATTTGCGTAGAAATAACCTGGGCTCGAACAACCTTAAATGATTCACAAGGCCAACTTCACACATCTTATGTTATTACTTGAGGTCTATTGGTTGTCTAGACAAAGTCATAGGGATCCAGTTTGGGTCCCTCGGACATTCTGCTTGACCTTATTTCTGAACTACCTATGCACTTCAACATATTACAATATATATAGTTGGTAGAGATTGAGTTAACCAGAAATACAGCTATGAAATAATCAGGCAACAATTCGCAATAGTATAAAAGAGAAACAACTGAGAACTATATATATATATATATATATATATATATATATATATATATATATATTTAAGCATTTCACCCCAAGCAAGGCGGGAAGCCACTAGGACGCAAGGGGTTACAGAAAATTTAGAGCAATATCAGATAGGAGTGATAGAAGAAAGGATGAGGGTAGCGGATAGATCAAGGCAACTGGAGATGTCGATTGACATCACACTTGAATAGCTGGAGATTATAGCTCACAGGGAAACAGGGGAGTGTGAGAAATACAAAAGTACATTTTAAGCAAAGCGTTGTTTACACTGAGAGAGTCCTTGATCATCACTGCACCAAGGACTGGTGGATTCCGATATCAAAATAATAAATGCACAGAAGCAGTATGCTCTGATGGTCAACTGTATTCCGACACATTAGGGAGACACATACTGGAGAAACTTTCCCACCTGGATCACCATTCTCCTCCGGAGGAGATACACAGGATACTCTTGTTGAGAAAAAATAAAAATAAATTAAACATTATAAACAGAGAACGTGGGGTACATAATAGATTAAACTATTACGCCAATATTTCTTAAGTATTGATGTTATAACTGAGACGACATCAGTAGTAGCGAAAACAATGCAAGTCTCACTAAACTCTGATACGGTAGAGGAATAGGACCCTGCTTCTCTACCAAGAGAATGTTCTGCGACTGATGAGTAGCAGAATAAGAGTGGGAAGAGTAGCAGAATAAGAGTGGGAAGAGTAGCAGAATAAGAGTGGGAAGAGTAGCAGAATAAGAGTGGGAAGAGTAGCAGAAAGACTGTTGCTCTTCTACTTATACCCCACCTTTGAAGAAGTAACGATGGAAAAGAAATTGGAAGAGTAACAAAAACTTGAACAGCAAAACGTGTTCGTACGGATGGAGTTCAAGAAAATACACTTAATAAATTTAAGCCGTGGAGCAACTGCTACCCATAATTTCCAAGTAGAGGAGAACAGTAAAGGACTCCAATGGCCTGCACAAATGTTTCTCTAGAAAGAAAATATCAACAAATGTGGAAACGCGAAGATAACTTTGGAGGAAAAGCGCTAAGAAGTGGGTAAATATTTCTTAGCCCTTGAATAAATCTATTCTTATTCAAGGACGGGGTGCAGGTCTGTAAGGTGAATAAGTGGATCATAGAGAGGGAGTGGAAGACTCACTTACAAATTTTCAACGGCGCATGTAATGACTACGACTGACTTGGGAAACTTCCTTGATGTTACTTAGGTCACCTGTTTAATTCGCAATATAAGGTCTGGGAGATTATCCAAATCAATGGATCTCAAGTTTTTCTCCATACTCTAGCCTATAATTGGTGGTCCCTTCATAACTTTTTGAGATAGACAAGCTTATTTTATTATTTCAGTACACATGAGTAGCAATTGTTTTATATAAATTTCAAAATATTTGCCACCAATTAAGCGTAAATAAAATTATATTTCAGTAAACCAAATTTTATGAAACAGGAATATACACTAGTAACATAACCAATAATATTTAAGACAGTCAAATCATTTTAGAATACAAACTTTATACATGAGATTAAAAATGTTATTCCTGATTTATTCAATGCAACCCTTATGGCTGATACAGATCTGAGTTTTTAATATCTGACCTCGGTTTTGATAATAACAGATGTAATATACCTATTTTTAGAATGTCTGTTACTTTTGATCGGGAGACACACGACAAGATGTGGGAAAAATAACATACAACAACTCACTGTGTACTGTAGTGGATATTTCTTAGCAGTGTCATTACTTTTTTATATGATATGCTTCTTATCTTTGAATCTTCAGCTGTAATTCTATGAGACTCTCTTGGAAAGCTATGGCTATATCAATATCCTAACTTCAAAAGTAATCGTTACCAAAATTGGCACGTTCAATCTCTAATAGTTTGCTGAATCTTGATTGCATATCTTCATGTACATTTTGTCAGATATTCAATATACTCAAGAAGGTCATGTTTGTACAATTAGTTGCTAATCAAAGCCAGGCATAGAAACTGTTTTAACACTTGATGTGTTATATGAATATTGAACAGCTTGAGTTTTCTCAGGAAAAGAGTAACAGCTCCT